ATGCATTACTTTTAAAAGTAACTTTCCCCAACACTGCTTACAAGTATATAACAGTATATACTAATATGCATCTTTGCATTAATTTGGTTTCATGCAACTTTAATCCCAAGTATTCAACTTAAGCCAGAGACATACTGGCTAAATACTTGAAAATGCACACATTTTAATTGCTTGCAATAGAAAGCATCCTCTCACCTTAACCGATTCCAACAAACTTTTGGGGAAGAACCGCCGTAGTCCGACGTCTTTTCTGCCAAACAGAGAAACAGAGCAGAAATCTGAGCGCAGATGCAAAGACGTCATCGCAAACTCACAGCAGCCCATCTGGAGAACGGATCGCATCACACTCCCCGGGACCGAGTCTGATCTATAAACGCATGCTGGACGACATGTGGACCTAATGAATCAACTTTTCCAAACATCATTCTACAGAACCTCGCATACATGTGTAAAACATTACTATAACAATGAAAATCGCTTTTAACAAAATGCACCAAATAAATGATTCAGCTTTGTCATGGTAATGCATTTCCAACCTCTCCGTTCTGCATTAATTATGCATGTTTTGATGAGAAAAAAAAAAAACGGTAGTGAAGTAAAACTAAGGCTGGGTTGCCAGGTTGTGAAAAACCCTGTTAACATCATATTTTCCCTTTTAAATTAACAAACAATTTAATCAATTTGTCGCACTGACATCATCATAACCATCCTTTTATCCTTTCCATCCTTATGACTAATTCACATAGATTACAATAAAAGAAAACAAACGGGACTATGTTACACAGATTCAGCACACAGTTTCTACCCTATTCTGTTGTTCAGAGCAGGGCTACTGTCAGTAACTAACATGAAAACGATTTAAAAAAAAAAAAAAATCTTACTTAACAAATAAATAAAAAATATAGTTTAAGTGAAATAAAATATATAAATAAAGCTTTATTTTATTTAAAAAATAAATGACTAAAATTACTAAAAATCTAACTATATAGACATTAAAAGAACTGAATACAGTACATTAAATATACTATGTACTTTTTTCCTCATAACATATTATTAACTATTGGTCAGTTAAGCATAATATGATGCTGTAATGTTTATAATACAAAAATTATATAAGATCACTTAATATCTAATATTAAAGATATATTATTTTAAGATATATATTTCTATATTTTATAAATACATTTTAAACATTAAATATATGGGAATTATGTTATATACATCCAACAGTTTCTGCCCTAATATGTGACCCTGGAGCACAAGACCAGTCATAAGGGTACATTTTTCAAAATTGAGATTTATACATCAACTGAAAGCTGAATAAATAAGCTTTCCATTGATGTATGGTTTGTTAGGATGGTAGAATATTTAGACAATATTTGGCCGAGATACAACTATTTGAAAATCTGGAATCTGAGGGTGCAAAAAAA